CTTCCTTCCTTCCTTCCTTCCTTCCTTCCTTCCTTCCTTTCTTTCTTTCTTTTTCTCTTTCTTCTTTCTTTCTTTCTTTCTTTCTTTCTTCTTTCTTTCTTTCTTTCTTTTTTTCTTCTTTCTTCTTTCTTCTTTCTTCTTTCTTTCTCTCTTTCTTTCTTTCTCAACAGCCTCTACTCCTCTTTCCTCCCGGCCTGGGAGATTCAAACTTGTTTTAAAACCTAGAAACCCTCCTTCAGCAGAGGCTCTCTACAATTGCATAAATGCAGTCCGGTTATTTTTCATTCTCCCTTCATGCTCTCTCTAGGCACAGAATGGCGCATATACAGGGTGGAAGGGCTTTTGAGCGGGGTTGGCTGGAATTGTTCACACATACACGGAACCGTCCCAAATCAATAATGCATGTCTGAACTGTAGGAAAGCTGCTGAGGGGGGGGGTCCTCCCCCCTCCCCTCCTGTCTCTGTGGCTCTTCCCTGCCTCTCTGCAAATTCCCCCCGACGAGCATCTTTACTTTTGGTTCCAGGCACCCCGGAGTTAAACCCAGCTGAGCGGAAGGATCTGGAGGCCAAGCTGAAGGAGCGGGAAGAATTCCTAATTCCCATTTACCATCAGGTAGCGGTGCAGTTTGCTGACTTGCACGACACGCCCGGCCGAATGCAGGAGAAGGGTGTCATTACCGTAAGTGTTAGGGATTTTTTTCCCTTACTAATGCTGTCAGAAGCGCTTTTGCAGACAGGGCTGGAGGTGCTGCTAAGAAAATCCTCCCGACCCAGCGTTTTGAGGCGGCGTGTGTGTGTGTGATGGGGGTGGCAGAGGTAGTAAGGTCTCAGCTAGCCTGGATTATGCCGACAGCGTGGGGCGAATATTAAAAGTTTGTAAAAGCCGAGGGAGGATGCTACATGTGGGGAAATTGTAGCTTTTTAAAATATATTTTTTTTAAAAAAAAACACGTCTGAGTTAAGCTCCTGAAGGACATTTTCAATGAAGGAAGATAGGTGCCTAGAGGCCAAGGGTGTTCTTTTAAGGATTTTGTTTGTTTTGTGCAATTAGCTCACAGGGTGTATAATAAGTTGTAGTCACTGTGAGTTGTGGTTGGGGGGGGCACGGAGGGAGGCTCAGCCAATCTCACTGTATACACGTTATACTTTCATAATAAAGGTTCATTCATTTTGATGCAATTTCATTAAATTTTACTTAAAAAGAAAATGCAAACTAATATAAAGTGAGAAAAAAGGAAGAGAGAACGAAAAGTACAAGAAAGAAAATAAAAGAGAGAAAAAAAAGCGTACAAAGAAGTAACTTCCAATCTGTGGAACAGTTATAATTACAATTATAAATTTATCTCTTACCCCGTGGTTACAACATAGTTCTCTTTCTATAATCTATTCCGCCTAATCATCGAAACCGTAAATCACAAATTCATTTTTTTCTGTTTCATGCCAAAGTCCATAAGGACTTTCCAGGCAGCAATAAACATATATACAGACCATTCAAGGTTATAACAGAACCCCCCCACACACACACCCAAACAAGGTACTTACGACCTGGTTCCAAAATACTGACAGTGGTCCCCCTGGTCACGTGACCACATTTTGGGCTCTCCGCAACATGGCCCTGCAGTCACATGACCATGACTCATGAACTTTTTACCAAAAGCCAGCATTTACTTCCGTAGTGGACAGGGGGTTTGCTTAATGACCGCTGAGTTCGCTTAACAACCGCAGAAAAAGGTGGTAAAATGGGCTTGAGCACAGGAATGACCCGCTTTACAACCGTCACAACTTTCAGCCGTAACAAGCAGGCTCCATTATGGTTGCAAATTAAGGACTAGTTGTCTCTCAGGCTGCTGCAGATACACAGACAGTTTTTTCCCCCCTCCTGCCATCACTTTGCTGGACACCTAATTCCCACAGTATTTATGTTTAAGGGATATTTACCCATGTAGTATACCGATATTACTATTATCCTTCTTCTTCCTATTATCTTCTGTTATTGGTATCTAGCCTTTATTGTTTATATGTACACTGAGAGCTTCTGCACCGGAAACAAATTCCTTGTGTGTTGGCCAATAAAGAAATATTCTATTCTATTCTATTCTATTCTATTCTATTCTATTCTATTCTTATTTCAATTAAGATTTTGTTCTATTATTCTATTCTGTTATTCTATTCTGTTCTGTTATGTTCTATTCTATTAATTCTATTCTATTAATTCTATTCTATTCTATTAATTCTATTCTATTCTATTAATTCTATTCTATTAATTCTATTCTATTTATATTCTATTCTATTCTTATTTCAATTAAGATTCTGTTCTATTCTATTATTCGATTCTGTTCTGTTCTGTTATATTCTATTCCAGTGGTGGCGAACCTATGGCACGGGTGCCAGAGGCGGCACTCAGAGCCCTCTCCGTGGGGACGTGCGCCGTCGCCCCAGTCCTAGGCCTTCAGCTGGGTTTTATAAAACCTTTTCGCTTTAGGTCTCCGCTGCCATGTGCAAAAAAAAAAAAAGTTTCAATCAGTCAATTTCAACTTCTCGCGGGAAAAAAAGGATCTTGCAAAGTTGGACTTGATTGATTGAACTTTTTAGTCTCACCCAGTCTACCATTACCACTGCAGCAATGCCCACCCAATGGGCCACACCCACCCAATGGGCCACGCCCATCTAATGGGCCAGGTTCACCCAATGGGCCACATTTACCCAATGGGCCACACCCACCCAATGGGCCACACCCACCCGGCACTCGACAATGCATAAGTGGGTTTTGGGTTGCAGTTTGGGCACTCAGTCTCTAAAAGGTTTGCCATCACTGTTCTATTCTATTAATTCTATTCTATTCTATTTATATTCTATTCTATTCTATTATTCTATTCTATTCTATTTATATTCTATTCTATCATATCATATCATATCATATATCATTCTACTCCTGAGTGGCATTGCCATTTATTTCTGGCTTCTGTTCCCAAGCCGTCTATAATTCCAAACATTTGATCTTTCCCACGTGTCATTTTCAGGTCTGGTCCTGCTTGCTTTTCTTTTAGAAAGAGAGCAAAACACACGGAGAGGAGGAGGAGGGGGGGATTTATTTATTTATTTTGTATTATATTTATTTATTTACTAAATTTGTTTACTGCCCATCTCATTTCATAGTTACTCTGGGCGGCTTACAGTGTTAAAAGCAATAAAAACGGTAAAAGATAAATATTTCTAAAAACAAGAAAAACATCCCGCCTTTATTTTTTTTTTAATAAACAGCTCAAGGTGGCAAACATACCTAATACTCCTTTCTCTTCCTAGTTCCCCAACAACAACAACCCTGTGAAGTGGTTGGGCTGAGAGAGAGAGAATGACTGGCCCAAAGTCCCCCAGCCTGCTTTCCTGGCTAAGGCAGGACTAGAACTCACCGTCTCCTGATTTCTAGCCTGGTGCCTTCCCCACTAGACCAAACAGGCTCTGTTTATAAACCAGATTTATTCTCCAGAGCTCCCAAAGGCTCCAATTTCTCAAAGTTCCCATGTGAAGATTGGACATCCATTTGTATGGAACGGTCTGAAGACTCCTGCCTTGAGTTGGGGGTAGATCTATAGGACCTCAAAGGTCCCTTCCAACCACATGACTCTGTTCTCCTCCTAGAGCAGGCGTGGGCAACTATGACAACTTTACGACCTGTGGACTTCAATTCCCAGAATTCCTGAGCCAATATGGCTGACCTAGGAATTCTGCGAATTGAAATCCACAAGTTGCCATAGTTCTGTCCTAGTTGTTGTTAGTTGCGAAGTCATGTCCAACCCATCGCGACTCCATGGACGACGTTCGTCCAGGCCTTCCTGTCCTCTACCATCTTCTGGAGTCCATTTAAGCTCACGCCTACTGCTTCAGTGACTCCATCCAGCCACCTCCTTCTCTGTTGTCCCCTTCTTCTATTGCCCTCCATCTTTCCCAGCATTAGGCCCTTCTCCAGTGAGTCCTTCCTTCTCATTAGGTGGCCAAAGTACTTGAGTTTCAACTTCAGGATCTGGCCTTCTAAAGAGCAGTCGGGGTTGATCTCCTCTAGGACTGACCGGTTTGATCGCCTTGCAGTCCAAGGGGCTCGCAGGAGTCTTCTCCAGCACCATAGTTCAAAGGCCTCCATTCTTTTGCGCTCAGCCTTTCTTACGGTCCAACTTTCACAGCCATACATTGCAATTGGGAAAACCATGGCCTTGACTACACGCACTTTTGTTGGCAGGGTGACGTCTCTGCTTTTTAGTATGCTGTCTAGATTTGCCATAGCTTTTCTCCCCAGGAGCAAGCGTCTAGCCCCCCCCCCCAAAAAAAAGTACACACAAACCATTGTCATGTTGCATTCCCATATCAACTTGAGATAAAATTGCTCATGGCCCAAACAGGGCTCACTAACCTGGTTACAAGGGAGTTAATTGCTCCCCTTCAGCTCTTTTCCCATCAAACCATTTTACATAAGGAAAAGGGAGGAGACGGTCCCTCATCGTACATACATGATTGCCCAAGCAACTTAAGAATTCTCATTTGTCAGGAAAATGCAGCATGTAATAATTTTTGCTCAAAAAAAAAAGAAAAGGAAAAAAAAAAGCAATTTGGCCTGTGTGTACCCAGATTTATTTATCGATCTCAAATATTTACATCCGGCCTCTCGGGCCTCCAAGGTGGCTGGCGATAAGTGAAAATGAATACGTGATAAACATCCCATTGTTTTGACGGGAGATTAGCTCTGTCTTGAAAAAAGAGCATCCATAATGTAGATTACAGCCAATCTCATCATGTTGGAGAGATAACGGCGGAATGAGTGGGGGCTTCACACACACCCCCACCAGCTCTTCATGCTATAAAACATCCTCTGATCTTTGTTTTCTTTTGTTTTAGTTAGGGAGGTGGCACCTCTATCTTCACCTGCAAAATATTTTTCCAGCTCTGTTGTGGGTTGGGTGGGGACTTCTGGGCCTTCGGTTCTCCACCATCGTTGTGAACTTCCTCTCTCTGTGCTCTTCTTCCCACCCCTGTTTGCACCCAGGATGTGCTAGAATGGAGGACCTCCCGTTCGTTCTTCTACTGGAGAATACGGCGGCTTCTTCTGGAGAACTTGGTCAAGAAAAAGATCCACGCTGCAAATCCTGAACTCACCGACGGCCAGATTCAGGCGATGCTGAGACGCTGGTTTGTTGAAGTCGAAGGCACAGTTAAGGTACAGCGCAATGCTGGTTTGTTTGTTTGTTTGTTTACTTTTTCTTCTTCTTCCTTGACTGTGTGTGTGTGTTTGTTTGTTTGTTTGATGTCACCCTCCTGGCTATAAAATGAAAGGGGGGAAAAAAACCTGCTGAAATCTTCAATTAACACGGGATCTAGGAAAATATGTGGAATTTTTTGTTTGGAGGTATAATTGACATACAAGATTTTAAAAAAATGATTCAAAAAATAATAGGAAAACGTGATTTGATTGATTTCAACAGTCATGATGCAGCTAATTTATTCAGGTTCGGGAATTTGGGCTATTCGTGTGCATAATTTTAGAGCCGAGGGTGGTTGAATATATTCTCTTCCATTTAGATGGAAGAAGAAGAGTTTGATTTTAACACCAAAGTGATTTTGGGTGTGGGAGGTTGCTAACAAGAAAACTGTGTAATTATAAGCAGGCCTTGTGCAGAAGGGGCTAGGAAGAGAAATTTACAGGGAAAAATAATTAAGCTTACTGTAATATATCCTGAGCTGTTTAGAGAAGGCAGGATGTAAGCCTCCATGGAAAGATATTCATGTACTTAGTGAGGGAATCTGGTTCTGTTTGATTTGGTTTTGGTCCTTTATATAGACAAATCCAGCTATTTCCATATCCTGTGCCAAAAAAAACCTAGTTTTAATGCAATCAAGTGAGACTACACTGTATTGACAGTTTCAGAGCACAGTGTTCTTATGTCCACCTCCAGATTTGTAGACGTCTACTTAAAACTACAAATATAGAATAGAATAGAATAGAATAGAATAGAATAGAATAGAATAGAATAGAATAGAATAGAATAATGAAAGAATAGAATAGAACGGAACAGAACAGAACGGAATGGAACAGAATAGAGCTGGAAGTGACCTTGGAAGTCTTCTAGTGTACATTTATCTATATTTATGTACATTTATCTATATTTATCTTTCTATTTTATCTACCTATCTATCTGTCTGTCTGTCTGTCTGTCTGTCTGTCTGTCTGTCTGTCTGTCTCTATCATCTCTATATCTATCTATCTATCTATCTATCTATCTATCTATCTATCTATCTATCTATCTATCTTGATTGATCGATCGATCGATCGATCGATCAATTTATCATCTGTCATCTATCTATCAAATTTATTGGCCACCCATCTTAACACAAGGTAACTGGGCGGCTTACAACATTAAACATTTCAACATCTGCAAGAAAACCCCAAACCAGCTCAGAGAGTGCCAAGGGTCCCTTATTTCCACATTTCTTGACCAGGGAAGCCATGTGTGGACATCTGGCTCCCATTTTGATTAGAGTTTTGACAGTGAAGTTGTGAACCTGCACTGTTTTATAGGTAAGCTAAGTGGTATGATAACTACCTTTTTGTTACTCCACTATGATGTGGAGTGTATTCGTGCTCATCCGTTACACCCAGTTGAATCATGTCCTAACATTTTCTAAAGCAGGGGTGGCCGCCCTTGGCCACTTTGAGACCCGTGGACTTCAACTTCCAGAATTCCCTAGAATTAGAGGAGTTAAAGTCCACAGGTCTTAAAGTTGCCGATATTGGACACCCCTGCCCTTTTGGAAATGGACACGGTGGTTTGGCAGCACAAAATTTCTTCCTAAACACTCATAAGTTCAGTTCATTAGTCAAGCACTGAGCATAATACAGGTATTCCCCGACTTACGGCCACAACTGAGCCCATTTCTGTTGTTAAGTGAGACATTTAAGTGAGTTTGGCCCCATTTTACGACCTTTCTTGCCATAGTTCTTAAGTGAATCACTGCAGTTGATAAGTTGGTAACCCGGTTGTTAAGTGAATCTGGTTTCCCCCCATTGACTTTGCTCGTCAGAAGGTCACCAAAAGGGGATCACGTGACCACGGGACACTGCAACGGTCGTAAGTATGAACCAGTTGCCCAGCATTGGAATTTTGATCACATGATCATGGCGATGCTAGAAAGGTGCTAACTGGGAAAGATGGCCACAAGTCACTTTTTTCAGTGCCGTTGTAACTTTGAACGGTCACTAAATGAACTGTTGTAAGTCGAGGACTATCTGTAATACCCTTTTGAGCATAAGTGATAGTTCCCATGATAGGCTGGTCCTGCAGACAAGATTCCCTCTGTACCAAAACATTGAAAAGTCCCGGATTCCATTCATTCGGGGAATAATATGATCTTCCAAAATATGATATTCCAAAACATGGTCAGGATCCTCAAATCAAAATGAAGTTATGGCTCAGTTTTAGCTGGCTCCTTTTATCGATTTTACTGGTGGTCCTCGACTTACAACCATTTATATAATGACCGTTCAAAGTTACAACGGCTCTGGAAAAAGTGACTTATGACCAGTTTTTACACTTAATGACCGTTGCAGCATCCCCACAGTCACGTGATCAAACTTTGGGGGGGGATTTGGCAACCGGCACGCCCTGACAACGGCTGCAGCGTCCCGGGGTCCTCGGGGTTGTTATCTGCAGCCTTCTTAGGGAGCATCTGGCAGGCAAAGTCAGTGGGAGAAGCCAGATTCACTTAATGACTGCATAATTCACTTAACCAGTGATTCGCTTAACAACAAAGCTCTTGCTTAGCAACGGGAATTTTGGCAAATGGCAACATTGATCATGAAATGGGGCACGGCTCGCTTAACAACTGTCCTGCTTAGCAACGGGAATTTTGAGCTCAGTTGTGGTCGTAAGCCGAGGACTACCTCTGTTGTATTCCATACGGTTGATATGTTTTTTATGCTTTTAACTACACACCGCCCAGAGTCACACTGAGAGCGAGGTACCTAAATCTGATAAACAAAATAAATAAATCTGATCAACAAGTTGATCACATGTATTTATTTTATTTATAGGTAGCTCACGCTCAATGAGACTTTGGGTGGTGTACAGTGATAATAAAATTGTATCATTTCCTTTGGGGCTGTTGCATATTTACAGCTCTCATCCTTCCAGTTTTTTGGAGAAAGAACTATAGGCCGTTTTAACTTTGCTCATAGGAAATGAGCTGAGAATTAAAGCTTCTGTTAGAATTCTCTCCCATTGGAATTAAAACTCAGTCTCTTCTCTATCCTGTTTTTAAGTATCAGTGGCATCCCCCCCCCCCCCATACACCCTCTGTTTTCAACATGCTTGCAGTTAGCAATCCCTACTCTCCAAAGCTGGTAGCTGGCCATCCAGTTTTTGAAGTAGGAAAAAAAAATGGAGAGCCAATTGAGCTGAAAATGCTGCAAAAGATAATGTGTTTGTGTTGTGTGTATGTGTGTGTAACTTATTTTCTGGAGAGTTCAGAGCTTTGGAAGATAAGGCCTTAGCAGCTTTATACACACACACATACACATATACATATACATATATGCATATATATATACATATATACATATATGTGTGTGTGTGATGTGTGTATATATATACACATAATACACACACTCACATATATATATACACATAATACACACACATACATATATGTGTGTGTATATATACAATTTTTAGTTTTATTTCTGAATATATGTATGTATATATATATATATATGTCTGTGTGTGTGTGTATTATGTGTATATATATGTGTGTGTATTATGTATATGTATATATACATAATACACACATATATACATATATATATATATGTATTATGTGTGTGTATGTATACGCACACACACACACACATAAGCCTGGCATCTAGTTAGCTAATACATTACACCAATCAAGGGGAGTTATCTTAAGCCACAATTAATCTGCTCCCTGGCATATGTTGATAGGGAAGCATCATGCTGTTTCTTAATTAAAGGCAAACGGATTAAAAATGATTAATAAGGGTATTAAATATTCATCTAAACTAAAGCTTTGGGAATCTTGGGCAAATCCTTGCTTTGCACAGGCCTACAAAGTGGCCGACATTCAGCGCCCAGGAGGGATGCCCTGGCTGGGAGATGGGACAGCCAGCTGCTTCATTGATCACTTATAAAACACCTGGATTGGTGTGAAGAAAGGAACTTCTGCGGTGTCCAAATAGACAGTCACCGAAACGTTAAAATAAACTTACCACTGTTGGCAGCATCCCCTTGATCACGTGATCAAAATTCAGGCGCTTGGCAAGTGGCTCATATTTATGACGGTTGCAGTGTCCTGGGGGGGAGGTCACGTGATCCCCTTTTGCGACCTTCTGGCCAGCAAAGTCAATGGGAAGGCCAGATTCACTTAACAACCAGGTTGCTGACTCAACAACTGCAGTGATTGTAGCAAGAAAGGTCATAAAATGGGGCACAATTCGCTTAACAACTGTCTTGCTTAACAACAGAAATGGGCTCAGTTGTGGTCGTAAGTCGAGGACTGCCTGTATTAGGTATACTCGCCGCCTTGAGTTGCTTGTAAAAAACAGTAAAGGCAGGATATAAGAGTCACCTCATGGTGAGATGGGTGGCAAACAAATTTAATAAATTTTAAAAATAGCAACAGTATATAGACTTATATACCGCTTTACAGTGCTTTACAGCGGTTTACAGAGTCAGCATACTTGCCCCCAACAATCTGGGTCCTCATTTTACCGACCTCGGAAGGATGGAAGGCTGAGTCAACCTTGAGCCAGTCAGGATCGAACTCCTGGCAGTGGGCAGAGTTAGCCTGCAATAGCAATAGCGCTTAGACTTATATACTGCTTCATAGTGTGCTTTACAGCCCTCTCTAAGCGGTTTACAGAGTCAGCATATTTGCCCCCCAACAATCTGGGTCCTCATTTTACAGACCTCAGAAGGATGGAAGGCTGAGGCGACCTTGAGCTGATCAGGATCGAACTCCTGGCAGTGAGCAGAGTCAACCTGCAATACTGCATTCTAACCAGTGCGCCACCATGAGAAGGAAGGAAGGGAAGGAAGGAAGGAAGGAAGGAAGGAGAAAAGGGAGAGAAAGAAGGAAAGGAAGGAAGCAATAGTAATAGCACTTAAACTTATGTATGTCTAGTTTAATGAAGGGTATGTCTAGTTTAATGAAGAGAAGGACGAGGGGGGACATGATAGCAGTGTTCCAATATCTCAGGGGCTGCCCCAAAAAAGAGGGAGTCAAGCTATTCTCCAAAGCGCTTGGAGGCAGGACAAGAAGCAACTGATGGAAACTGACCAAGGAGAGAAGCAACCTACAACTAAGGAGAAACTTCCTGACAGTTAGAACAATTAACCAGTGGAACAACCTGCCTCCAGAAGCGGTGAATGCACCAACACTGGAAGTTTTTAAGAAGAGGCTGGACAGCCATTTGTCCGAAATGGTATAGGGTTTCCTGCCTGAGCAGGGGGTTGGACTAGATGACCTTCAAGGTCCCTTCCAACTTAATAATAATAATAATAATAATAATGATGATGATGATGATGATGATGATGATGATGATGATGATGATGATGATGTACCGCTTCACAGCCCCCTCTAAGTGGTTTACAGAGCCAGCATCCTGTCCCCAAAAATCTGGATCCTCATTTTACCGACCTCGGAAGGGATGGAAGGCTGAGTCGACCTTGAGCCGGTCAGGGTTCAAATAAAAGAAGAATAATTGCTATCATGTGAATTTAAAACTCTGCCTCCTTTTTAAAAACTAAATTCAGATGAAAAAGTCAAATGTGGGAACCCACGTAAAGCCAGCTTGTCCCCTGCCTTGTAAACTTGTCTGTGTTCCCGTCCCGGTCAGCTGCTGAGAGGTTTACCTCGATTTATTTCTCCCTTATCCGATGCCTTTGGCTGCCGCAGTGTGACCAGGCCGAAGGGTCAGCCTTAAAGGGGCGGCAGATGTTTCCAGCTGGGGAAAGCCACCCTCCTCCATCACCGGAGCCTTTTGACAACTGGGGGGCTATTAAATCATGATGTGAAATTCATTGTCATTCCGACTTGGACTTCATTAGCAATATAACAGAGAAGGATAGTGCACCTTTAAATGATGAGCTTTGGTGTTTAATTACCCAAATAAAATGACATAAATATGAATGAGCGCTAATGGTGGTACTTGGGGGTTTTTTTTTCTCCCCCCTGGAAACCATTAACGATTCTTAAATGATTTGTAAAGAAAATGAAAGGCGAAGAGAAGCAGTGAGATGGCTATTAGGGTTCAAACACACTCCTGAATTATTACATAGTCAACTACCTAGCAAATACAGAGAACTAAATGATCTCCATCTTCCTACCTTCTGATTCCCCCCCCCTTCTAAATTTACCGCTAGAGTCATTTCACCCCACGGCAGGCGGCATTTTGATCTCTCTTCTGAAGTTCATTAATTCAGAAATGGGGATCGGGTGGGGTTTTTTTTGTGTGTGTTTTTGTTTTTAACTGGGAATGTTTAAGAAAGACAGAAGATTTCGGTTCTGCAGAAATTGCTGCAAAGGTTGTTTTTGCTCCTGTTGGAGCAAATAAATTAAAAAAAAAAGAATAGAATAAATTGCTCATGAGGGCTAGCAGCACACATGCTGAAAGCAGGCCCGTCCGCTCACCTAAAACAGGCCCTGGGTCAGAATGGGTAGTGGATCCCTTGTGGGATGTTGTTTTTTTATCCGGGATGGTTTTCTCCGGATTCTTTTGATGATATTTTTTTTTGTGCTTTTACAGTTGTACTTTCTAAGTCACTCAGGGTCCTAGCAGACTCTGGGGCAGCCTCCAAATCAGACAAATAGATGCATCTGAGGTTGGAAGCTACAACATTAGGAGATGGTTTTAAAATATGATTAAAGCCAGCTATTGTTCAGCTTTCCTGTTGCTGCATAAACTGTTCCTAGAAATTTGTACGGACAAAATGGAAGACTTCTACTGGGGACTTCCATCTTCTCTTCCTCCTCCTTCTTGTCTTTTCTCCCCCTCCTCCTTCTCTTCCTCCTCCCCTTCCTCCTCTTCCTCCTCCTTCTCTCTCCTCTCTCCTCTTCTCTTCCTCCTCCTTCTCCTCCTCTCCTTTTCCTCCTCCATTCACTGTTCTTCCACCCTCCAAAGCTGATGTACCTCTAGTTCAGGGGTAGTCAACCTTGGCTCTTTTATGACTCGTGGACTTCAACTCCCAGAATTCCTGAGCC